ACACACACACACACACACACACACACACACACACACACACACACACAGACATATCGTATATACATATGGTACACATCTTCCCCTGATGTACACCTGATGTACACCTCCTGCGTGCTCCGACATCTGTCTTACAGCTCTGTCTTTCCTTTCTCTTTTATCATCCCTCCTTTCCTTCTCTCCCAGCTGAAGGCTGCAGGTTGAGGTATGCAGCATTGGGTTGAGACATGCAACAGGTGCTGCAGGTAGCTAGCTAACCTCGGGAGAAAAAGGAGGAACACCATCTCTTTACACCATCTCATATATGAGACTTTTTATTGGCCTGTTTAAAGAGGCAGGACAAACAACCATCTCTCCGACAAGGGCTGTTGGGAGTGGGGACCCCTTGGGCTGTGAACAGGTTGAAGGCAGGAGAACCTCGACAGCCGAATGGTTACATTGCATGTAAGAAGTGGACATAGTCACCGTGACGCCACCCTTTGGTTTGTGGGTAGCCTTGAGTTCAGCATTTTGGCCTTTGCCATCTTGGTTTTTGGCCGTTAGAAGTGTCGCCATCTTTATTCTTTGCAACTAGAAGGGACACGGGAGGATGGAGCTCAGTACAAATGAATATGGAATAAAACATTCCTCGGTGAGCAAAATGTTGCAATTGACTTTCATGAACTGAAAACACACTGTGAAAGGCTGAAAGTTCAAAGACGAAAGAACGGACAACAGCACCGGTAGTGACCTGTCAATCACAGTAAGCCACGCCCTAAAGCATACCCTGCTTTATGGTCTGTTTGACTCTAAATGGACCATAATTTACTAAATGAATATATCATGCTGTATTGAAGAAGACTTAATAATGAGACCATAAACTCATGTTTACAATGTTTACTGAGGGAATAAATCAAGAGAGAAGTAGAGTCATTTTCTCATAGACTTCTATACAACCAGAGGAGTCGCCCCCTGCTGGCTTTGAGGAAGAATGCAGTGTATGCCACATAGCTGGGTCAGAGTAATATAGTATTGAAAATGTGTTATGAATGTGTTGATACTTTTTAATACCCTAACCCTACTGCTTAAGGATGTTTGAATACAGTTTTACTGCTATCCAAGTTACATTCCAACACTGGCTACTGAAGGTCAAACTGCTTTTTGGTGAAATCGCATCAACTTTGATTTAAATGTATCGTAGACGCAAAGTATTACACTCATTGGAACATAAATTCAAATGTTTTAGAATCCATTCTGTAACATTTGCATAGCAGAGAAAACTGAGGTCAGAGACAGAAAAGCAGAGAGGTAATGTTGTAGAGTCTGTTTAACGAGGGCTTCGGGGAGCTGTGAGCTCAATGCAGCTGGAATGAGCCGTTAGTCAACATTGAAGCCATCAAAGCTGGAATTATGTTTGAAATGTATGAGGTCAGACGGTCTCCGTCTGAACTAGCTTCAATTACCAGCTAGCACGAACACACACACACACAGTGTGTTGCCTGAGCGAAGAGCATCTCTCCGACT